AGTATTGGGTCTAATTTTCCTCTGGTTTTTGTGTTGGCTCTGGCTGCAGTGAACACATGTAGATATGGTTGGGATTGCTGGTGTGCTTAGTTGGGAGGGTCACACCTGCGCATATCCAGACACCGTGAATCCTGGCTCCGTGGTTGTACTTGCCACGTGAGTGGGCTGGGGGGCGGCTCCTGTGCCCACTTGGCCTTCTCAGTTCTTCCCTTATTTTCTTTGTTTTTCTTAAATAAGTTCTTTATTGTGAAAATACTGTACAGAGGGGTTACAGTTACATGAGCAAGGTAATGAGTGCATTTCTTATCCAGCATTGTTGTCTCCCTTCCCTTATTTTCATTTTGAGAGAAGTGACATTTCCTGGTTTTCCTGTTGACACAAATCGAAACTGAGTGTGGTGATTCCCAGTTGTACCACAAGATGGCGTCGGTGTCCACTGGGCCTTTGGTTCAGACTAAAAGGCTGCAGGGAGCTGTCCCCTCTTGTAACTCTGTGGGACTCGAGTCTAAAGGAGGCCATGGGTAGCACTCAGCCAATTTGGATCTTTTTGGAGTCCTGCATTCCCAGAGCCACGTATTCTAACACTAATGTTGCTTATGTACCTCCAGTTGCCCACCACAGAAACCAGTGACCCCCAGGTGATTGGTTCTGAGGCACACTAGAGCAGTCTCCCCCTTGCTCTGCTGATTTGGGGCTGGATCTTCCTTGGGAAGGCCATGGCAGGGTGTTAGCAGCCATGCCCCCAGTGCCATGAGCGACTGCTCCCTGAGTGCTGTAGGGCACAGAACCGCCCAACTGAGGAATGGTGGTCTCAAGTGGGGTGCGCAGTGTGATTGGACAGAACTGTGTGGCCCACCCGGGGTTGGAGCCTTGCTGCCTTCAGTAATAAAGGAGCTGCATGCTGTTTTCCAAATGATTAGAGCATGCTGAAAACAAAACCAAACGCCGAAGTTGTCTGTAATCCTTACTAGTATTTAATATTTCCTTGATTATAAACGCCATATGTAGTTGTAATATAGCTGTCCCAAATATTTTCTCATAGTATTACAATGCCATGGCCACAGTGCATGGAGACCCGCCCATTTCCCTGTGATTGACATCGTATACACTCTTCTCTTCCTGTGAATCACCAGCTCCTACTCTTGTTACTAGTATTCCAAGTTTGTCTTCTGTGGGAGGCACCATGGTACCTTCCCCCTCCCCCCCTTCTCCCTCCACCCCTGGAGCCGTCTCCAGTATTGGAATTACTAGATCACTGCATGGGAAAAGAGGTCCTGCAACCACTTTCCACAGAAAAGAGAGCCCTTTTCCATATCCTCACCAGCCCTGGTTTTTGTCCTGTGGTTGGATGTGGTGGTGCAGGCCTGCAATCTCAGCACTCAGTCACAGTTCAAAGCCAGCCCCTGCAGAAAAGTCCTGGAGATTCATTTCTAATTAACCAGCAGAAAGCTGGACTGGAGGCATGTCTCAAGTGGTAGAACACCAGATGAGCAAGCAAGTGGGAGGCCCTGCAGCCTAGCCCTAGTATCAGCACACACAGAAAAGATACAAATCAGGAGACATTCTTGCTGGAGATTTAATAAAATCCATATAACAGATGTGAGCCTTGCTGGCTCAGGAGTAGTCCTCCCTCCTCCTGCCCCTCCCATGTTGCCCTCCCTCTCTGCCAGGGTCCCATTTCTCAGAACAGCCACAGCTAGCCTTTACTGAACACCTGTATTTCTGTGAACTGCCTCATCCACACTCACAGCAACCCTAGGTGGTGGCATTTCAGGGCAAAGGCACCTCCAGAGCTGCAGAGCAAGTGGGTGGTGGGCTGGTGTCTGACACAGGTACCTGGGCTTAGTCTGTGGCTTGAAGCCTTGTCCATAGCTTGCCCCTGGCCTCCCAGCCCTCCCTGCCTCTCCACCCCCACCCCCATGCTCTTCCCTGCTGTGCCTATACCTTTCCCTCAGCCTTAGTGCATGAGCCCCGGCCGTTTGGTGTGTGTGTACACACACACACACACACACACACACACACACACACGTCACTCCTGGGGCTTGAACTCGAGGCCTGGACACTGTCTCAGTTTTCTTCATTCAAGGCTAACATCTACCACTTGAGCCACACACAGCTCCACTTCATTTTCTGTTGGTTCATTGGGGATAAAGAGCCTCACAGATTTTTCTGCTTGGTCTGGCTTCGAACCATGATCCTCAGATCTCAGCCTCCTAAGTAGTTAGGATTACAGGCATGAGCCACTGGCACCTGGCTTGGATCTTTCTACATGCCTGAGGAGCCTCTGTGCCCCTTAATCTTCCTCTTTCAATGCTTTCCTACTTGCACAGACACCCCTCCCCCCATGTAGATCTAGCTTGCTCCTGCCTTGCCGCAGTCTACATGCCAGGTGATAGACTCTGCTTTGACACCTCCAGCTACACCAGGTGGTAGAGCCTGCTCCATCACCTCCAGTTACAGTCCTGCTTCCTGCATTCGTTTTTTTTTTATTTATTTATTTTCGCCGATCATGGGGCCTGAACTCTGGGCCTGGGCGCTGTCCCTCATCTCTTAAGCTCAAGGCTAGCACTCTACCACTTGAGCCACAGCACCACATTGGTTTTTTCTGCTTATGTGGTGCTGAGGAATCGAACCCAGGGCCTCATGCATGCAAGGCAAGCATTCTACCACTGAGCCACCTTCCCAGCCCTCCTGCATTCTTTTAAATGATCTTTCTGTTTTAGAATGGGTTTTGTTTTGTCCTGTTTGGCTTTGTGGTTCTAGGGGACTGAATCCAGAGCCTCAGTTGCTGGGCAAGTGTAGCAGCCCTGAGCAACATCTCTAGCTTCACAAGGATTTAAGATCTTCCCGCTCTCCCTGTTATCTGACTTCTTGAGTCAGTACAGTGGGGTTGAGCCCATAGCACAGGTGGGCTCGCTAGCTTCCCGCTTCAGGGCTGCACGTGTGGTGTCATCCGTGTCCTGGGCTCCGCTGGCTGCAGGCACCTGTGTGCTTTACTTGGGTCTGGTGTCTGTAACCACCCTGGGATTTGCCAGTTTTCTCCAGGCTGGGGGCTGGGGAGACACTGAGGTAAAGTGCCATTGCCATTCCGTGTCCAGGCTGCATGTGCCAGGATGCCTCCCACTGCTGTGCCAACTCAGCCGTCTGCTGAGCTGGCAGATCTCTCATGGTAAATTTACCCTGAGGAAGAAGCCACGTGCACAGCCCAGCTGCACCTGCCTGGTGGGGGATTCAGCGAGGATCACGTCTCCTCCGTCTTTACCCTGTCGCGGCCTTTGCTGACATCAGGGCAGCCGCGGCCGGGCAAAGCTACCTGTCTTGTCTCTCAAGTTGGTTCCTTGGCCATCTGGGCTTTTTCTGCTGGCTCTTGTCTCTTTCTGTTTGACCAAATTCCATCATTGTGCATGCGCTTGCGCGCGCACACACACACACACACACACACACACACACCACTTTTTTTTTTTTTTTGGTAGTATTTCCTTTCTGGCATTACAGAGTATTCCAGACAAGACAGGCCATCTTGTGTATTTCCTGCTCTGGGCCCAAAGCAGGCCTTCATCCAGGAAGGCAGTGCCTTGTGTGGAGGGAAGGCAGCAGAGGGCAGCTTCTGGCAGGGTGTGTTCTTCCCTTCTGCACTTTGTTGTCTGTTTCTCTCAGTAGACAGAGCAAGGAAATAGCCAGGCATTCCATTGTCTGAGAAATGCGTGCTGGGTGATCATATGCTCACACAAACTAGGATGGCTATGACTCCCTGGGGGATAAAGGGTTACAGAATGTGGCAGTATATGTGCACATACGCCAACTGGCGCATACACACGTACCCCACGCTGCTCATGCGTAGCTAGTTGTGTCCACATGTAGCCAAGCATGAGTTCATCCTGGTGTGTCCAGCTCATTAGGTTTTGTCTGGGCCCTCGGGCTGCAGCGCTGTCCCACGCCTGCCCTCCGCAGGCCTGTGCAGGCCCAGGGCATGGCTGTGGTTCCACAGTGACTGTCAGATGACTGTGTCCTGTACCCAGTCACCTCTCTGTGGGCAGCTTTGCTGAAGCAAACGTTCTTGTGTTGGATTCTGTGTGCGCCGTTTTAAATCCATGCAGTAGATACCCGGGCGTGTGATTGCCAGACTCTGTGTGGGGAACTGCCGAGCTCTCTCAGAGGGCCACCTGTTTTGCACTCCTACTCTTGACAGATGGGAGTTTAGTCACTCTACACCCTTCCTCCCCTCCTTCTGGCTGGCAGACTCTATGCCACCTGAGCCACATCGCCACTTCCAGCTTTTTGCTGGCTAATGGAAGGTAAGAGTCTCTTAAGTTTGTCTATGAGAGCTGGCTTTGAACTGCGATCCTCAGATCTCAGCCTCCAGGATAGCTAGGATTACAGGCGTGAGCCCCCGGCGCTGGGGTGAGGGAGTCTTCCTCATAGTGCCTCTCTTGAGGACTTTGATGCTCTCTCCCACTTTGAAGCCACCACAGTAGCCAACCGTGTGATGGTAGGGGCACAGGGCAGGGGCAGGGAGAGAGCACAAGGAGGAGACAGGGGCACGGGACACAGGGTAGGTCAAGTCCTGCTCGTTTGCATGAGGAGCTTCGGTTGCCTGGGAGAGTTCTGCAGACCACCCATGCTCACAAAGCGGGGGCGGGCTGGGAACATGCTGTCTCTCTCAGGCTGCAGGGTGTGGGAGGCAGCCTAGGAAGAGCAGGGTGCCACCATGTGTGCCACACAGCTTGAGTGCTCTCTGCGGTGAGAACCAGAGATGGGCGGGAAGCTTGACAGCAATGAGTTGTGTTAAGACTGGCAGGGCCATTGCTCCTCCCATGCTGGGCATCGCAGGAGATGGGACCCCAAAGCTAGAGGCTTGGTTTGTGGGGACTGTATCTGCACCTTCTGGCGGCACTATGAGTCAGCATGGGCTCTGGGGCCCAGCTGTCCAGGATGGAGGTGCTTTCATTGTTCCGCACTCCCCGAGGGGTACCCCAGGTCAGAATGTCATGTGCTTCCAGGACCTGGCCCGTCCCAGGAGCAGCGGGCCAGCAGCTCTGAGGAGGCGTCTGGAACCGACCAGGAGGAGGAGGAAGAGGAGGAGCCCAGCTTCATCATGGGTCGATGAAGTGCTTACATGGCAGCTGTCAAGAGCCTGGCTGATTGTGCGACCCGGGCCTGGGGCATTCGGAGCTGGGAGTGGGAGTCGGAGCCCGCACACTGACGCTGAGGCCCCACCCGCTGGAAGGGAGCGCGCCTCCCCTCCCCTCACGCCATCCTCTCCTATCGGAGCTGGCTTCTGTGCAGGGATGTTTACTTAGTAAAGAACAAAAAGCCTTTAGGTTTTGTTCAGACATGTGAAAACATTAATTAGCACAGCCATCAGGAGGCCTGCAGTGACACGGTAGAGGCGGCCTCAACATCGGACAGGTCCAGCTCCCACACCTCCCAGGCACACCATGGGACTACATGGGGCTGCGTAGCCCGCACCACAGGTGCCTAACTCTGTTCTCTGCAGCAGAGGGAGGCTGGCCCTGGGAAGGCAGCAGGTGGCCAGAAAAATACAGGAAGAAGACCCAGGCTGGGCTGAGCAGGGAGAGGCCTGGGCGCCTTGCCATGCTACAGGTGGACATTGGCGAAGATGCCCTTTCATCCTGCATCCAAGGGGATGAACAGGAGCGTACCAGAACCAGGCAGCCCGCACAGGGTGTGGAGACTGTGACAGACCTCATTAGAGCCCTTGTTCTGTGTTTAGGTGACCTCCAACTACTACTATCTCCGTGTGGGCCCTTTTTTCCTATGCCCCAGCACTAGTACAGGGGAGTGTCGTTGTGATCATTCCATCACTCCGTCACCTCCCCCTCCCGCCACGTATCCTTTGCTTTTCATGGACTCGGGTAGTGTTGGTTTGGAGTGAGGGAGATCCGAGAGTGTGGGTCTTTCTTTCCTTCTGCCTTGTAGCTCCCTGGCCCCACTCTGAGTGCGTGACACCTTCTGTTATCTCTGCTCCTGTGCCTTCCCAGGAGGCTGAAATCTATCACCCCCATTGGTACTGCCTGGCACATCTGGACACCTCTGTCTCCCATCTGGTGTCTGGTTCCTCTGTGTGCAGTGAGTGGGCAGTGGGAGCCGTTCTGGCATCAGTGCCACGTGCTGCATGGCTCCCCTCTGCCTTCAGGGTGTTACTTGTTTGTGTTACATGGTGTCATTGAGAAGGCAGGGTGACCGTGCACCACAGGCCACAACTCGGGATCATGCGGTAACATCCCAGGCAGCACGTGGCTAAGGGAAGTCTGGAACCAAGCCACAGGGTGTATATAGTGTAATTTCAGGCTCGGAACCTCAGTCTACAGCTGTACCACCCTGAGTGCACCAGCTCTCATCTGACCGTGGAAAGGTTGAGCTCCAAGGTAGGACTTCATTCCCTCCCTCCCTCCCTCCTTCCCTCCTTCCCTCTCTCCCTGGACACTGCTGTGGCAGCCCTGGTCAGGCCTCCAGTTGGGTTTACTGAACATGATTTGTTTCCCAGCTACGTGACTAGATTCCATCTGCAGTTATGCTGTCCTGGGCAGAGGCTGTGGCTCGTAGTCCCTCTACTTGAGCTCCCAGGGTGCCAGCACATGGGTGGGATGATGGCGTGCTGTGGGTCTAAGGCAGTTCTAAGGGCAGCTGCTGGACTCATGGACTCTGTGAGTGTGTTCATTAAAGCTGACTTGTAACCCAGTCCATGCTCACATGCTCTCATGGTCATTTGTAGACACAGGTGTGGGAAGTGGCCGGATGGCGTGTACATTCCCAGCGGAGGCCACGGGAGGCTGTGTTATGTTTCCCGTGCCCTCACGTCCATATTTGGTGGTTTTGCAGTGATTTGCTATTTACCCTGCCTCCCCTCTCCCCCCACCGTGTGGTGGTGAGGTTGTGCAGTGTTGCTCCCACCCGAGACAACTCTGGTAGGGAAGATGCCGGAGCAATACCACCAGGCCCACGCTGCAAGGCTGGGGCCAGCAGACCCAGCCCTGTATTTCCTGAGGAGCAGTGTGTGTACGCATGTGAGCACTGTCAGCTCTGTGTGCACATGGGTCACTCCATCAGCTCTGTGTGTGCACATGCTGGCAGAGCAGTGTGTGCAGCCCTCCTTCCATCCCCCCTCGAAGGAGTCTTCACCTCTCCCTGATCCCAGGACTTTGCATCCTGTGGATGCAAACCTTCCCACAGCCCTGGTGAAGTGGCTGGTCCCCATGCTGCCTACAGCTCCTCCACTCCCAGAGCCTCCGTTTCTTTGTCCCTCCATGTTGTCCCAAGCCACTGTCCACAGGGGCCTGGCCTTACCCCCTCATCCTATGTCATCCTCAGTCCTCATAGCCCCCGGGGATCCTGGCCACATCAGGAGCTCCAGAGCCCAGGACATGGCAGCTGCTCAGTAACGGCCCACAAAGGGTTTGAAGAAATCCCAGGGGCAGAAGTCTTTTGCACCTGCAGGACTGCTGCATGGCTGTGAGAGGGGAAGAGACATCTGCAGCCAGGTGCACAGGCAGGAGGCCCGGCTGGGTACAGTGGCACCTGCCCATGGGCCCAGACACTCACGAAGGTCATGAATTCGAAACCAGCCTAGGCTGCGTAACTGTAAAATTCAGCCTCAAAACAACCCAGATTCCTAGATGATATTCCAGAAATTCCCTTCATTACAGCTCAAATCTAAACAAGGTATTTGTGCTGATACTGGGGCTTGAACTTGGGGCCTGGGCACGGTCCCTGAGCTCTTTTGCTCAAGGCTAGTGCTCTACCACTTTGAGCACAGCACTGCTTGCTGTTTTCTGGTGGCTAATTGAAAGGTCTCACAGACTTTCCTGCCTAGGCTCATTTTGAACGGTGATTCTCAGGTCTCAGCCCCCTGAGTAGCTAGGATTAGAGGCGTGAGCCATCAGTGCCCGCCCAAAACATTTTTTGTTGTTTCCAACTTTTTTTTAGTAGTGAGAATTGAACCCGGGGCATTGGCTTGCTTGGCAGATGCTCTGTCTTTTGAGCCCCACCACTAGCCCTTTTGCTTTTCAGTTTATTGGGGTCTTTTATGTTTGCTAGCCTTGAACTTCCATCATCCTCCTATATGATATCTGAGTAGCTGGGATTACAGGCATCCTGTACCACAGCCAGCCTTGAGCATTACCTTTTCTTTTTCTTTTAGTGCCTATCCTTGGGCTTTAACTCAGGGTCTGGGCACTGTTCTTGAGCTTTTTTGCTCAAAGCTAGTGCTCTACTACTTGAGTTACAGCTCCACTTCTGGCTTTTTTCTGGTTAATTGATGCCAAGAGTCTCAGAAACTTTCCTGATTGAGCTGGCTTTGAACTGCATTTCAGATCTCAGCCTCCTGAGTAGCTAGGATTACAAGTATAAGCCCAGAAATTGGTGCCAGGCAATAATTATCTTTTAGAAGCTGAGTTGTTAAGTTAGAGGAATGCTGTTCTACTGACCTGGAGATAGGAACATAACTGGATCAAGTTCCCAGGGCTTAGAGGAGGAAGGGCTGCTTGGAAACTGCTTAATTCATCCAGGAATGAGGAATCTGTTCCTTCTCCTCCCCTTTGGAAGTTAATTTGTTTACTCTTTGGCATACTTGACAAAAGTGAGCTGCAATTACCATATATTTGCATGCATTTCCATAAAGAGAACTCTTAGACTTGAGCAAGTCCCAAGAGGCAGCTGCCAGCTTTCTTATTCCATCAGATGTAGTAAATGTTTATTGGGCACTGACCAAATTCAAAGCCCAGAGACTCCCAGGTGACTTTTAAGGCACAGAGCTTGGTGGTGAGCAAGACATAGGTCTTGTCTTAGAAGAAGCACCATCTCTGACCTGAACAGGACCAGATCAGAGCAGTAGTAGGCACTGGGCCAGCCTCTGGGAAGGGATCTTTCACATTCTGGTGTGGAGAATAGATGGGGACCAATGAGGACCTGGCAGTGCTGCAACCAGAGGCAAGGGTGGTGGGCAACAGGGGAGATTGAGCCTGTGCCCCTCTGTGTGGATGAAGACAGAGGGGCAGGTGCATGAGGGTGAGGACCTGCCATGCTGCCCCACCCTGCTGCCACTTCTCCATGGCCAGGAAGAGACACAGGCTTGGGCATCATGGAAACAGTGAAGTAGGTGAGACCAGCCTGGGAGGAGGGGACCCACAGACTGCTGGGAACTGCCCCTGTCTCCAGGAAAGGCTTAGTGGGGGGTGGGGGGAGCAGCCATGTGTGGGCGCCAGAACTGATAGAGGGGTCCTAAGTGACTGGGGCTGAAATATCCCATGGGTTTAGTTAACACCATGTTGGTGGATTGGGGTGGGGGGGACTGAGGTCCAGGAAAGGAAACGGGTGGGAAAGTAGGTGGCATGCGTGGGTTTAATCCCCGGAATCTTAGTTGAAATGGAAGCAGTCTGGCTGTGTGTAGAGGGAGGGCCTTTGGGAAAGGTCTAGATTGAATTCTGGTGGTTTCAGAAGGAGGGATGGGGGTCTGGGAAGGTGGCTCAGTGGTAGAGCGCTTGCCTTGCATGCCTGAGGCCCTGGGTTCGATTCCTCAGCACCACATAAGAAAAAAGTTGGAAGTGGCGCTGTGGCTCAAGTGGTAGAGCGCTAGCCTTGAGCTGAAGAGCTGAGGGACAGCACCCAGGGCCAGAGTTCAGACCCCATGACCGGACCCAAAACAATAAAAAAAAAAGGAGGGATGGAATGACAGGGCACACATGCATGTGCCAAGGTCTGATAGATCCCGGGGGCCTTCTCTACAGTCTGGGCCTCCACCTCCAGAACTGAGCAAAAATAAACGCTTGCCTCCATACAGCAGCCTCAGATGTGTTGCTGCAGCCACAGAATGGTGACTAATACAGGGATGGTGGACTCAAAGGTTTTACAGAGAAGCGGCTGTGGGTAATGGGTGACCGGCTAGGCCATAGGAGGGAATGGCGGAGCGGACTGGACACATGGGCCACACCAGCTGTGAGGCTGGGCTCAATGGTAAGCGCTGGCATTGAGAGGAAGGCCAGGAGCCTGACCCAAAGAACCAAGGTGCGTGCTGACTGGCACTTGAAGGTGGCTGGCCCTCAGCGGCCTCTAAGAACAGCTTTCTTCAATGGAGAGAAAGAGAGGAAGCCACCCACCAAGGCCAGCAGCCCCCAGTGCAGCCCAGCACGCTGAGAACAGGTCAACTGCATTTGACCTCAGCCTCTGTCAGCCAGCTGTCCACTTCCTCCCGCACCTCCCTGCTGCCAGGGACAAACAAGACAGCAACAAACCTGTTTTCTGTGTTTGGTTAGGAAAAGCTCTGAAAGGCACTGGTGACTGCAGCTGCCATTTTGCATCTGTCCAGGCATGCCAGGTAATTGGTCTGAGAGTGGAGGCTTTGCTGACTGGCACAGGAAGACAGTCAGTCCAGCTTCCCTGGTAGACTGGGCGGGGGAGGGGGTGTAAAAGCCCGGCTTTACCCAGGCGGTTTGCGGCTGCGATGCTGAGCCGGTGCTCCTGCTTACAAAGCAGCTCTTCCTGTTTTCAAGTGCATTTACAAGAGCGTGGGGTTGGACAGCCGCAGCCAGATTGTCTTGAGGGCCGCGTGCCCCATCGCAGCCATCGGCGGGGGCCCAGCCCGCCTCTTAGCTGGTCTGTGCTGTGAAGCGCGGCTCCAGGGTGACCAGATTCCGCCGTCTGTCGGGCCCGGCCTGGACCGTTTGGCACCAGGGGAATTTTTCACTGGTTTGGGTAAATGTGTCACGGGCCCGTGCGATGGAAAAATCCTATGTAGGACGCGCGGCGGCCTCCGGGCCCGGGGCGAGGCCTTGCCGGGGCCGCCCCTCACCCCGGCACCCCCGCTCCCCACACCGGCCCTGCGCCTGTCACGCCCCCCACCTCGGCGCGGGGCCCCTCATGCCCCGGCGTCCCCGCACCCCACCCCGCAGTTACCCATGCACTTCCGGGAGCTCCGCGCCCCGAGTGTCTCGGTCGTAAACCCGCCACGCGCGCAGCCAGGGGTGCCGGGCGGGGTCTTGGGCCTAGGGGTGGTGACGGGGTGACCCCGAGTGGCCGTGCCGGGCATCTGCCGCCTCGCCATCCTGGTGCCCCCCCCCCCCCGCGTGCAGGTCCCCCCCACTCTGGCCCAGCGGACTCGGGCCCCGACCCCCATTCTGGGTCAGCCGGAGCAGGGTTCCCGCGGTCACGTGGCCACGCGCTCCCCCCCCTTGCGGGCAGGCGGGTCACGTGGCCGCCCTGTCGCTAGGCAGCGGCTGCGGCGGGGCGGGCCGGGCGGCTCGGGGACCCTCGGGGCCGGCGGAAGGCGCGGGGAGCGGCACTGGGCGCCCCGGCCCGGGGGCACCGGGCTCGGCGGAGCCGGGCGCGCAGGCCGGGCGGCTCAGGTGAGTGCTGGCGTGGGGCGCGCGCATCCCGCACCGGCCCCCTGGGGCGGAGGGGGTGGGGAGGGCCGTGGGGTCTCCGCCCCGCCCGAGTGGACGGGACTGGACCCCGGGACCCTGGGGCGGGGGCGGGGGAGGGAACGGAGAGAGCCCCAGACGTGCGCCCGCGGCGCCGAGCGTGGCCAGGTGGCCCCAATCTGGCGGGATCGGGAACGGGGTGCGGTACCAGGGGATCCCGGGGCGCCAGCCGGATCCGGGTCGAGCAGCTGCGGGGCGTCGGGGGAGCCGGGACGGGAGGAGCTGTGCGGTTCCTCCCTCCCCCGCCCCCCGCAGGCCCCCTCTTCCGTCTTCCCCTCCTCCCCTCCCCTCGGCGTGGCTCTGCGCCCTTGTTTAGGGAAGTCGAGTCAGGCAGACGCCCATCCCCCCTCGGACCTGCTTCTGAGGCGGGATCCCCGCTGCCTTCGCATCCGGCTCTTGTCAAACCCCAGCGCCCCAAGGCCGGGCCCGGGCTGCATCCCCGGCGCCCAGGCCGCGGGGCTCATCTCATCCTCACCCCAGCGAGCCCAGGGTGGTGGTGGGGGGACCGCTGCCTTCCCTGGGGCACAGAGCGGGCTGAGAGTGGAAAGGAGGGATTTGAACCAGGGTCTCTGCTGGTCCCTCTGGAAAACCCAGCCCCTGGCCAACGGTGGGGCTGCCTTCCCGCCCGGCCCCGCCCGCTCCGGGACATCTCTCGGCCCATTTTCTAGCAGCAATGTGGAGGCCACCCTCAGAATCTCTCAGACTGGAGAACAGCCCGAGCTCACGATGGCCCCTGGACCCCCCTTTTCACATCCACACATACCCTCCCCTGGAGACTACTAGGCCCCCTCCTGGCTCCCCAGTCCTCTCAGTACACAAGCCGCGTCATCCCAGGGGGATGACGCCTCTGTGAGGGAGGTGCTCCTTGCCAAGGCTGCTGCCTCCCCACCAGCATCAGCACCCCCAAACCCAGCTTCCAGCCCTCCCTGCCCCCTCTCCTCCTACTGTGCAGTCATCCTCTTGTCTTGCCCCTCCACGGACAAGTGGCTTCCTCTCATAAGGAGTCTGCTCTGGTACGTCTGAAGCCTAAAACCCAAGTGTAGCAAGCATTCATAGGGTGCAGCAAGTCTCCTTGGGGTGCACTGACATCCATGGCATATGCTGCACATTCCTAGATTGCCTTGAGAGTTCATGAGGTGCACTGAGCGTCCATGGGAAATACTGAGCATCTGTGGGGTACAGTCAGTCATGAAGCAAGTGCTACCTTCCATTCATTTTTTTTTTCCTTTTAAAAAAATTTTTATTAATTTATTTAGTCGGTCCTGGGCTTGAACTCTGGGCCTGGGCGCTGTCCCTCAGCTCTTCAGCTCAAGGCTAACACTCTACCACTTGAGCCACAGAGCTACTTCCAGCTTTTTCTGCTCATATGGTGCTGAGGAATGGAACCCAAGGCCTCATACATGCAAGGCAAGCGCTCTACCACTGAGCCACTTTCCCAGCCACCTTCCATTCATTCTTACTCCCTGAATATTGTCTCCATCAGACTAAAGCCCAGCTGTTCTTGATTGGAGAAAGTGGAACAGGAAGTTTTTTTTTTTTTCTGTCAGTTGTGAGGCTTGAACTCTGGGCCTGGGCGCTGTCCCTCAGCTCTTCAGCTCAAGGCAAGTACTCTACCGCTTGAGCCACAGCACCACTTCTGGTTTTCTAGTGGTTTATTGGAGATAAGAGTCTCACGGACTTTCCTGCCTGGGCTGGCTTTGAACCGTGATCCTCAGATTTCAGTCTCCTGAGTAGCTAGGATTACAGGCATGAGCCACCAGCACCCACCTAGGAAATTTCTAAATAAAGACATTTTCAATTATTTGAAGCCACACAAGAGATTGGTTAGTAAACATTTTCCCAACACCCCCCTCGCTCCCCCAGGGAGGACATGGGTGAAAATGTACTGACACAGGCTGTGGGTGAGCTGTGACCCAGGCATCCAAACTTCTGGGTGGCCCATAAAGGCATCCCCCAGAGGGGAGGGGCGGGGTGGGGGAGAGGAGAAAGGGAGACTGGGAGTTTGCTGACTGCTGAGGGTGGGGAGGAAGGAGAGCCTCCCCACTTCTCCCACCTTCCCCTTGTGCCCCCTCCCCTGGATTGGCCCAGAGGATTCAGTGTGGGCACTCCCTCCGCCCCCCTGGTAGATACCCACGGCCATGCTCCAGGAGTCCCAGGGCCTGGCTAGAAGCTGACTCCAAGGTGGATTCCAGCCAGCCCATGCTTTGCCTGTGGCTGTTCTGGCCAGCTGGGGACACCAGAGTCACCAATCCCCTATTCCAAAGAGTGGAGATTTGGCTTAAATTCACCCACCTGAGCATATGAGCCCTTGTGAGAGTCCCTCCGTGTGACTGCCATGCCCACTGCTAGGATGACGCCTGGAAGCCTAGTCTCTGCTTCTCGGTATACGCTCAGCCATTTGCAAGGTTGTTTTCAGTTTCGGAAAGGTTTGCTTTGCAGTCTGGATGTGGCTTTGCTTGAGTTATGTAAGCCAAGAATGTGTTTCTGGGATGAACTGCACTGATTCAAATGCATCGAGGTTGCACTCAAAAAGCAAGTGTCTGCTGGGCAAGGCCTGTCCAGTCAGAACATGGCCACTGAAAGCCAGACTGCAGCTGGGTGGCCATGGTCACGCCTGTAATCCTAACTGCTTAGGCTGAGAGCTGGAGGATCAGGGCAAAGCCAACCTGGCCAGGTAAAGTCAGTGTAATTCATCTCCAACTAACCAGCAAAATACTGAACTGGGGCCATGGCACAAGTGGTAGGTAAGATGCCAATTGTGAGCAGAAAGGCTGAGAGCCCAAGGCCCTGGGAGCAAACCCTGGTACCAGCACCAAAAAAAGGAGGGAGAGGGGACACTTTGGGGGTCATATGTTCAAGAGTCCTGTCGATGAAGAACCCCTTTCTGAAGATGAGAGGTCCTGACATCAGCAGGGCAGTTGTTGGGATGAGAGTCTCACAGTGGCGTCAAAGCCTGGCTCTTTAACTTAGGTTCTGTGTGCACACGCATGCATGTGTGCTGGTGCCAGGGCTTGAGCTCTCACTTGGCTTTCTTGCTTACTTACTGGTGCTTTATCTCTTGAGCCATGCCTCCAGTCCTGAGATGACTCTTGGTAAACTTCTTTGCCCAGTCTGGCTTTGAGCCTCCATCATCCAGCTCTCTACCTTCCAAACTGCTGGAAGTGTGGCTGTGAGCCCTGACTGGTCTGGGTAGTTCTGTGTGAGAGTTCTGGAAATTGAGACCAGAGCCCATGCTGTCTTTTAGACACCCTGTGTAGGATCTGTTTAGCAGGTCCTAGGAAAGGTCAGATAGACTTGGAAGCTGGGCATTGGAGGGCACACCTGTAATCCCAGCACTTGGGAGGCTGAAGGAGGAGGATCATGAGTTTGAGGTCAACTTGGGTTGCATGGTGAGACCCTGTCTCAATACAGTGGCCAAAAAACAAGGGAGGGGGCTGGATTTTGCCTTTTCCCCAGGCACTGCCTAGGATGCCTGAGGCTCTCTCTTCCCCCCCAGCCCAATTCCCACCATGAGTGCTGAGCTCAATGTGCCGGTGGACCCGTCCACCCCCGCGTGCACGGAGCCAGGCCATAAGGGCATGGACTACCGGGACTGGGTGCGCCGCAGCTACCTGGAGCTGGTCACCTCCAACCACCACTCAGTGCAGGCGCTGTCCTGGAGGAAGCTGTACCTGAGCAGGGCCAAGCTGAAGGCCTCCAGCCGCACCTCCGCCCTCCTCTCCGGCTTCGCCATGGTGAGTGCAGGCGCTGGGCCCCAAACCTCCCCCCCCCCAAACAGAAGAACTGGGGTGGAGGGTGCCCAGGCCCAGAAGCTTTAGCCCATATTCTTTTGTTTGCATAAATCATTTGTCTGGCAAGGGAGGGAATGGGGTCATTAAAATAGCTTCCGCTGGGCACTGGTGGCTCATGGCTGTAATGCCAGCTACTCAGGAGGCTGAGTGCTGAGGATCACAATTCAAAGTCTGCCCAGGCAGGAAAGTCCCAAAAGCCAGAAGTGGAGCTGTGGCTCAAGTGATAGAGCACTACTAGCCTTGAGCAAAAGAAGCTCAGGGACAGTGCCCAGGCCCTGAGTTCAAGCCCCTGGACTGCCCCCCTCCCCCCAAAAAAAGTTTGTCCAGGGAAAGGCACCCATACTGGCCCCATGTGGAGGACCAGCGGCCCAAGGGGCTTGGGCCGGAGCTCCAGGGTGACTGGGTCCACCCAGCATGCAGCCCAGGACCCCCCTGAACCCCAAGCAGGTATGGCCTGGCTCCCTGCTGCCTCTGCCCTCTGAGTCATCTGGGGACCAGCGGTGGCTACCTCTCCAAGGCCACATCTGCTGCTCACTCCAAAGTCCAGGACCCATGCCCCTGGGGACCATGGTCCCAGCGGTGTGTCAGGGCTCAGCGGCATCTGTGTGCTCAACATCCTGGCAGGCTGCAAGTGGCTTACTTCTTGTTGTAAAAATAATTGTTTCTCCAGTCCCAGCCTCAGATGGGAAATTGGCAGTGCAACTTAAATAAAAAGTGGATTGAGTGACCCTTGGGGTCACACAGCAGGTGCCCGCTGAGTCAGCAGGATGGCCACGGGGGTCAGACACCAGGACCGGGTAGAGATCCCTAACAGTGCACTCGCAGTAGAAAAGTAGAAAAGAAAATATCTCAGTAGAAAAGAAAATATCTCCCCAGCATAGTGGGATACACCTATAGTCCCAGAAGCAGAGAGGCCGAGGGAGAAGTTTGAGGCCAGCCTGGGCTACATAGCAAGATCCTCTCCGAAAAAAAAACGAGAGCACAGTATTTTCTTTTTCTTTCTTCTTCTTTCTTCAGTTATGTGGCTTGAACTCAGGGCCTGGACACTGTCCCTGAGCTCTTTTGCTCAAGGCTAACACCCTACCACTTAAGCCACAACTCCACTTCCAGTTTTCTGGTGGTTAACTGGAGCTACGAGTCTCACAGGGACTTTTCTGCTTGGGCTGACTTTGAGCCTTGTTCCTCAGATCTCAGCCTCCTTAGTGGATGACAGGTATGAGATCTGGTCTTTGTAACTTTTGCCAAGGCTGGTCTCAGACCTCTGCCTCCTAAGAGCTGGGATTACAAGCATGTCCCACAACACCTGGCCCAAAACTGCTTTCTGTAGGCTCTATGTCCTGCCCTGTAATCATGTTTCCGCTCTGTGAGTCCTGCAGCTCACAGCATTTGTTGTGGGCCATATCCTTTACTTAAGGAACATCTCCCTCAGCCTGTCCCGTGTGGTCTGTTGTCTGTTTTTAAATATTTTTCACACAGCCTTGTGTCCGCTGAGGCGCTGCCCAGCTCAGGTCCCCTGGGACTGCTGCGCTTCCGTCCCCCGCCACTGCAGGCGCCTTGGGCCAGAGGAGGAGGTTGCCACAGGAAGTTGTAAAATGATCAGTCTTGTAGATTGTGGAGAAAAGGCTCAGCGGCTGGAGATGCCCATGGGCAGAGACTGAGCCTCCCCAGACCTCCTCCTGCTCGCCATCCCTCTCCCTGCGCCCTTGGCACCTGGGAGAGGCCATGATGAGAGCTGGGTCCTCGCTGGGCCTGGTTCTAGGCCCATCGCTAAAGTGCTCACATGTGGGGCGGGGGAGCCCTCAGGGTTGGGCGTGGTCTGCTGTGGGCAAGTGTGTGGGCCCGTTGCAAAGTCACCTTAGTGAGTGGAGTGAGCTGGCCCAGGAAGGGCTGCAGAAGTAATATGGAACTTCCTGTTTCCTGTGGTCCCTTTTTGCCCTTCATCAAAAATAAATTTTACCAAACATTTGGGGGGGGGGGGGGGCGGTGGTGGAACTCAGCAGTAGAGTACTTGCCTAACATGCACGAGGCCCTGGGTTCTATTCCCAATGCTGCTACAATAAACCAATAAAAATGAAAATTACTTATTTCTTCAAAGTTTAGTAATAGATACAGTTAAAAGATGGGCTGAGGATGGTGGCACATGTCTGTCATCTTGGACCTGGGCCTTAAGAGATCTCCCCAGCCTTTGGTCTGGCTGAGACACAGGCCTGCTGTCTGTGTGTCACAGTGTAATTCCAGGTATGGGGGCCAGTGGAAGCCTTTGCTTTAACATCACACAAGGCGGCCCAGGCTGGCCTCAAACTCCGGATCCTTGTTTAGCTAGTGTTGCACACCTGTAATTCCAGCACTCAGGAGGCTGAGGCAGCAGGGTTACATGTTTGAAGCCAGCCTGGATAACACAGACCCTGTCTCAAAACAAAAGGTGAAGCCAGGCACCAGTGGCTCACACCTATAATCCCATTACTCAAAGGAGGGTGAGATCCAAAGGCTCAAAAAGCCAACCAGCCAGAAAAGCCCTTGAGACTCCATCTGTAAAACCAAGAAAGACTGAGCTGGAGGTGTGACCCAACTGGTAGAGCAGCAGCCATCACCAAACCACAGTTTAGCCTGACTCTGATACCATCCCTGATGCCTTGCACTGAAGTCCTGCCACTGGAGAGGCATGGCCTCTGCCCAGCTGTGCTGGAGACTCTGCATCTGGAAAGGCCGCTTCCTCTCCCAGCATTCCAACCCCTGTGCTTTACTCTGTATTGTCCAGGCTGAGTGCCTGGGCGCTGTCCCTCAGCTCTTCAGCACAAGGCAAGTGCTCTACCACTTGAGCAACAGCGCCACTTCTGGGTTTTTTGAGATAAGAGTCTCAAATGGACTTTCCTGCCCGGGCTGGCTTTGAACCCTGATCCTCAGATCTCAGCCTCCTGAGTAGCTAAGTTTACAGGCGTGAGCCACCAATGCCTGGCTGTTTTTTTTGGACAGGATTTTTACCATGTACCCAGGCTAATCTTGAATATCCAATTCTCTACTTCAGTCTCTCGAGTGCTGGTGTATGCCACCACACCCCACCCAAAGTGTGAAATACCTTAGCAGTGAGGAGGGAGTCGGCCTTCAGGCTAAGTGTGGGTGAGTCCCTGGCAGGGGAGCCCACAGTTGCCTGCAGCCCTGCCTTCCCCCGGCCCGCAGGTTGCCATGGTGGAGGTGCAGCTGGAGACGCAGTACCAGTACCCGCAGCCGCTGCTCGTGGCCTTCAGCGCCTGCACCACGGTGCTGGTGGCCGTGCATCTGTTCGCACTCCTCATCAGCACGTGCATCCTGCCCAATGTGGAGGCTGTGAGCAACATCCACAACCTCAACTCCATCAGCGAGTCGCCACACGAGCGCATGCACCCCTACATTGAGCTGGCCTGGGGCTTCTCCACTGTGCTGGGCATCCTGCTCTTCCTGGCTGAAGTTGTGTTGCTCTGCTGGATCAAATTCCTGCCAGTGGATGCACGGCGCTCACCAGGCTCTGGCAGCCATGCCGGCTGGCAGGCCGCCCTGGTGTCCACCATCATCATGGTGCCAGTGGGGCTCATCTTCGTGGTCTTCACCATCCACTTCTACCGCTCGCTGGTGCGCCACAAGACCGAACGCCACAACCGTGAGATCGAGGAGCTGCACAAGCTCAAGGTGCAGCTGGACGGGCAGGAGCGCAGCCTGCAGGTGGTGTGAGCCGTGGCTAGCTGGCTCAGGAGCCCAGTCAAGCTAAACAGCCTTCCTGTTGCTAAGTGGCCAGTGTCATCACCAGTGGCTGCTAAGCAGCCTAGGTTTGGTTGCTAGGCAGTCAGTATGCACACCTTCAGATAGCTCCAGACCAAAGTTCACCATCTCAAGAGCCCAGCCTGGGTTGGCTCTCACCACCCAGCTGCCAGGTCACCAGGAGGCTGCCTCTGAGTGCTTGGCAGGCTTCCTGGGGCCTGTGGGGCCTGGCCCAGAGATAGAGCCTGCAGGCCACAGGATGGGGAGCCAAGTGGTTTCCAGGCCACCCCCTGCAGCAGGGTGCTTCCCACCCTGGCCAGGGCGTTGGAGGGGATGCCAGGACCTGCAGGGGCCCCGCTGGGTGGGAGCCTGGCCCTGGCCAGTCGACGTCCACTCAAGGAGGCTCACTGGCGCCCTGCAGGGCATCCATCCACCTCTGAGCCCACAACCACCTTCCTGGGCCAAAGCCGAAGCAAGCCTGGGTCATCCTGTGTGAGCACAGCTAGGTACAACACCTGGTCCACAGGCGGAAGCTCCACTGCAAGGCATCAGAGGCCCAGGGAAGATGCAGGCAGCAGGAGATGCCACCTGACACCAGCCGTGGTTCTCCCAGCCTTCCCTTTGCCCAAGCATGGGGCAGATGACTCCGTGGGGACAGGGGGGACCTGGGATAGGGGACCAATCATGTAGCAGCTCCAGCCTGTGCACAGGGCAGGCTGGCCTGGAGATGCCAACTACAGGCCAGAAATCCCATCTCTGGGGTGTAACCTCATTTTGCAGCGTTCTGATGAGGGAGCCATGCACATGGGCCAGCGCCTGGACTTGCCCTAGTTTCCTGAGTGGCCCTTTTGGTGCAAAGCGGCTCCTAGGCCGTGTGGATGGCGCCGCAGCCTTGCAGTCTGCGTTTCACAATTCAAGTGTGGTGCGGGAAGCTGCAGGGGCAGGTGTGAGCGTCATTTAGGAGGGTTGGGGAGCGGTGGGCTGGGACTCAACTGCAGCCAACCCCTATCTGTGCTGCGGGCTGTGTGCACCCAGGTGCAGTCTGCATGCAGTCGGGCTGCAGGCCCTGCATGTAGGTTTGTAACTTTCTCTGCACTGAACATGGAATGCATAAACCAGTAAAGCTGTGTACTCTTTAAAGAAATTTGTTCTATTACCTGCCATCTAGACCCTCTCCCAGGCGTGGGAGCCCACCTGCAACCCTGTTACCAGCCAGACCAGGGCTCAAGCCCGCAGTCCCACTGCAGGGTGTGGCCTTCTCTAGAGTGGACATGCCACGCTGTGAGGCTCTGGTTAACCAGAGCTCCAAGAATCATGTGGTAGAAGCTGGGCATACACTTATAATCAATCCCAGGGCTCAAGAGGCACAGGCAGGAGGATCATGAGTTTGAGGCCAGCCTAGACTACATAGTTAACATCTCACAAAGCCAAAAGACCCAACAGAGCAGCTCAGTATCAAGTCCCTCCATCTTTCTTCCCTTCCCAGGCTGGGAACCAGGGCCTGACCCCCATCTTCAAGGCAGCTCAGGGCCACGTATATTCTGATTCCTAAGCCTTGTTAAGCTGCCGCCCCTCAGCTTCTGTGGCCTGCTCCCAAGCCTAGTCCCAGGAGTCTGGGACAGCCCCTCCAATGGAGCCCAATGCTGTCCAGGTCTCCAGGGATGGGCCTCGAGGTGTCCTGGTAATGCATGGTGTTTCCCTACTTCATGCGTGCTCTGCCTTAAACTGTTGTCCCTGAGCTTTTGTGCTCAAGGCTAGCACTCTACCACTTGAACCACAGCCCCACATCCCACTTTTTTTTTTCTTTTTTTGCTAGTCCTGGGGCTTGAATTCGGCCTGGGCTCTGTCCCTGAGCTGCTTTTGCTCAAGGCTAGCACTCTACCACTTGAGCCACAGCACTACTTCCAGCTTTTTCTGTGTATGTGGTACTGAGGAATTGAACCCAAGGCTTCATGCATGCTATACAAGCACTCTACCACTAAGCCACATTACCAGTCCATGTCCCACTTTTTGATGGTTGGTTGGAGATAAGAGTTTCACAGACCTTCCTGCCCAGGCTGGCTTTGAACTGCAATGCTCAGACTTCAACTTTCTGAGGAGTTAGGATTACAGGCATGAGCCACACCATCCAGCTCTTCCCTGCTTCTTAGGACTGTAGGGAGATAAAGCAATGAGGTTCCCAGATGCCCTGTACATCCCAGCCCAAGGGGTCAAAGGTGACTCAGGCTAAGCCAGACTCAGAAGTCAGAACTTGAGATCTGTCAGGTCTTCATCCAGTCCTCTGCACCCCCTCAGAGTGGATGAAGGGGCGGTGGCAGGCTGGTCACAGACCCCATGCAGGGAAAACCCTTTCACACAGTGGCAGTTTTCAAAGTCCAAATCCTACCCTTCCACAGTGTGATATGTAAACAACCCAAACAGCAGCCACAGTTCCAGTGCAAGGGGTGGACGTGGAGGGTCCCAGCAAGGGCAGCTCCGGGCTGCCCACCACAGTCTAAGTCTGATGGCTTCTCCCAACGATGTCCCCATTCCATCCCCAACTCCACACCAAAGAGTAAAATCCACTGAGCAGGGAGCAGGGAGTGTGCACTGGCGGCCATGCCCGTGAGGTCCACACCAGCCTGTCCTGCTCACAGGACGGGTCTCCCTTGGAAGGACAGTGCAATGCGCAGGAGCTCATGGCCCAGGTCCTGCTGCTTCCCACCGGGGCAGAACTCAGCTGACAGCTCACGGAACGTGGCGCACACACGGCGGGCCTTAATGTGCCTGCGGTGGATGGCGTGGGTCCATTGGTGCCGCGCAGCCCCGGTGAGCACCAGCAGGGAGCGGCGCGGGACAGGGACGGCCACCTCCACCTCGTGGCACAGGACTGACCTGCTGGGGCCTAGCATGCTGTCCATGGAAGCCTCAGGGCTGGCAGGAGGAGCTGGGCTGAGCAGCAGGCTGCCAGACGCCTCCCGGCCCATGGACATCACGGTGGGGGACAGGAGGTTGAGGCTCACCAGCCGCTCCCCCCACAGCCAGGAGTCATCCAGGTGGGGGTCGATGGCAGAGCCCCGCGTGGGGCTGTAGTCCAGGTTACACTGCTCCACAGGCTGGAAGTCCTCCAGCTCCGGGTAGAGGCCCATCCTCTGCACCAGCTCCTGGCTGAAGCTGGGGAGGCCCTGGAAACCGGCCATCCTCAGCTTCTGCTTCCGAAAATTCACTTTGGGGCCATAGTCCTGGGGTGGGGGCAGGAAGGGGTAGAGGATCGTCAGTTCATAGAACGTCACTGCCATGACCACAAGCCTGCACGAGCCTTGGGCTAAACAGATGGACACAGTGGCAGGAGGTAAAGACATGGTACGGAATGAATGATAGCCCAGGTGGTGGATGCTGGAGACTAGGCAGGGGAAGAGGACTTGAGGTGGGGGTAGGGGTCAGCCTCAATGCCCTAGCTAGCAGAGCTAGAGGCTTGAGACCCAAGTTGAGTCAGCACCAGCTAGCTGGATGTCACCAGGGAGGGCACAGGGGAGGGAACACTGGTTAGCAATGATAAGGCAGGCCGTGACCACATCTGAGGCTGCTGGAGGAGGAGGAGAAGGTGGCTGGTGGGGGGCCTACAGATGAGGAAACATGCAAGAGGTAAGGGACGTGAAAGAAAGCAAATGAAAAGCACTAGTGTCTGGCAACCTCTAGCAGCCATGGAGAGCAGATTCTTGGCCAGAATTTGCCATTTGAGTCCCACCACCAAGCTGGCTACAGAGAAGGGAATGTAGAAAGAGCCATTTTGGGAAGGCTGAACAATCTGCTTGCCACATGCTCCTCAGGGACCCTGGCTGCCTGCTGCCCGGCCAGGGTGCATGGAGCGTGGCTGCAGAGAGGAGCCAAGGACCAAGTAGCACGGCTCAGCCTAACTCTGCAGTCATACCTGCTTCCTCCGCCCAGACTGAGAGAGCTTCCAAGGGTCTTGGTCCATCAGACACACCATCTCAGCCTCTTCCTCCGGGGTCACAAAGTCCTCTATCAGTGTCACCCCCGGAAAGGGGAAGGCCCAGCCCTCAAAGTCAGAGTCCTCAGCCCCCACAGCCCAGCCGGTATCCAAGCAGTAAAGGAAGCGGTGGGTTTTCTGCAAAGAGAAGCGGGTCCTGGGGCTCCTGAGGGCCTCTGCCAGGTGCCTAAGCATCCCCAGGCACCTGGCCTGGGGTAGGGGACAATGGTCTCCTTCCCTAAAGCCACCTGGGTTGGTGGCTGGAGCCTGTGGGCCGCAGGCAGAACTTGGACCACAACCCTGTAGAGACAGTGTATGTTCTCAATCCTTTTGTCTTTCCTCTTTAATCTTTCCTGCATTCTCCACTTCAAACAAGAGGTGCAGCGAAGTCAGGAGAGCAGCCAAGAGCCAGGCACTGGTGGCTCACACCTGTAATCCTAGCTATTGTGAAGCAGACAGGAAAGATCAAGGTTAGAGGCCATCCAGGGCAAAAAGTTAACAAGATTCCACTTCAGTAAAGAAATCTAGAAGCCGGGCACTGGTGGCTCACCCCTGTAAATCCTAGCAACTCAGGAGGCTGAAATCTGAGGATAGTGGTTCAAAGCCAGCTGGGGCAGGAAAGTCCATGAGACTCATCTCCAATTATTTACCAGAAAACTGGAAATGGCACTGTGGTTCAAGTGGCAGAGTGCTCACCTTGAGCTGAAGGGCTCAGGGTCAGCACTCAGGTGCAGGCTCAAGCCCCACAACCGACCAAAAAAAAAAAAAAAAAAATCTAGAGCTGTGCGCCAGTGGCTCACATCTGTAATCCTAGCTACTCAGGAGCCTGAGATCTGAGGACTGCAGTCAAAGCCAGCCCAGGCAGGAAAGGCCGTGAATAAACCACCAGAAAACCTGAAGTGGTGCTGTGGCTCAAGCAGTAGAGCACTACTAGCTTTGAGCTGAAAAGCTCAGGACAGCACCCAGGCCCAGAGTTCAAGCCCCATCACCACCACTAACAACAAGAAGGAAATTAGAACCAGGTGCTGGTGGCTCACACCTGTATTCCGGGCTACTAAGGAGACTGAGATCTGAGGATTGGATTTTGAAGCCAGTCTGGGTTTCTTATTAACCACCAAAAAGCCGGAAGTGGAGCTGTGGCTCCTGCTAAGAGGGAGTGCCCAGGCCCTGAGTTCAAGTGCCATCACCGGCCCGTGCACACACGCAGGCACATGTCCTCCCAGGGACTCCGTGACCTTCAGGCCCGCTGCAGGCTCAGCGGCCGCGCGGGGCCCAGCGCTCAGGTTCGGAGCTCCCCAACCTCCTCTGCACACCTGCACAGCCTTCCACTTTGGCGCACAGGACCCCACCCAGCTCTCTGGCAAGCAGTGTCCGCCTGCAACACCGGCATTGCCTCAGCGCAACAAAACCGGCTGGCGCCAGGGCGATGGTTTGGGAACCGGCAGTCTCCCCACTGCCGCCGGACGAAGCCTCGGAGCACGGCGGGCCTGGTGTTCAGTCCCCTCCATCCCCCCTTTCCGTGTGGTCTCTCCCGAGCCCGGGAGGCCCTTGCAACCAAACTAGCCCCTGCACCCCGCGGGGCCTTGCCCGCGAGGGTCCCCGGCCGGCTTCCATCCGAGCCGGTCGCAGGGCCAGGCTGGCCCATTTCCTCCTATGAAGAACGGAGTTTACGGAAGCAGGCCTTCTCCCAGCCCCTACCTTCGGGGCGAGCTGCCAGATCGGGTCACCGTGGCGAGGCCCCTCGCAGATGAGACAGGTCCGGATGCCCTTGCAGCCGCACTCCTGCCGGACTTCAGGGGCCTCGGCGGACGCCACGGCGGCCATCACTCCGCCGCCGGCACGGACGGAGCGCGAGCGCGGCACGAGGGTTGCTGGGAGCTGTAGTGCACGTCGAGGACGCTGACGCCTTTGAGCCTCCCGGGCGGCCAGGGCGCGTGCGTGACGCGAGGGCCGCTGGAAGTTGTAGTGCGTGTCAGGGTACGCCGCCACCACTGAACCTCCCGGGCCGCTAGGATGCGCGCGCCCGCGGCGCAAGGGCGGCTGGGAGTTGTAGTGCCTGCCGGGCACGTAACGACGCTCCGTTTCCTTCCGGTGGCCGCGGATGCTCGCTCGCATAGAGTGAGCACCGCCTCCCGCTATCGGCTTCCTCGCGCTTCAGCAGCGGACTGCGGCTCCGTTAGTCGCCGGTTAGCGGACGGGGCCAGTCCGAGAGGCCATGAGTCCCCTTACGTCGCAGCTGCTCATGCAGCGTGCCCGACCCAAGACCGACCGGCTGGGGAAGATCCGGAGCCTGGAGTAAGCACCGGTCAGGGTGGGACGAGTCCGGGGCGCGGGGCTTCACAGACCAGCCTCCCCGGCCCGAGCCGGGCCGGGGATCCTGGCGGAACAAAGGCGGAGCCCCCCTCACCGCCCCGCTCCTCCTGCGGCTCCCTGCTATCGCCCTGGCCGGCTCCGATCTTTCGCGCCAAATGTCTTCGGAGAGGCGCGGGACTGGTGCGGCCCACCGGCGTGCCGGGGTCCCCGACCCGCTGCACCTGTGCGGGGCGGAAGTTGCAGTCTGCCATCCACTGGAGACTGTGAGGGTCTGGGAGGTGCGGAGGACCCCCTGGGAACCAGGAAAAGCGCGCGCTGCCCTGGGTTCTAAAGTTGCTGAAGAATTCCAAGTGTGTTGCTTGTGTGAATAAATGTGTGTTTATGTAGCGTGCTTCAGTGTGTGCTGTACCCAGAAAAGCCAGTAAATGGAAGCCCACCGAATACAAAACCCAATTTGAAATAAGAATGGAGGGATGAACCTGTGCAGTATTCGCTATGGAATTACCACAGTGAAATCCCTTTATATTACTAATGTCTGCTAATATGACTCATTTTGAATATAATATGCCTCTGTAATCCTGGCTGTTCAGAGACTGAAACTTGGAGGATCACACTGGGCAGCCAGCTCGGTATTAAGTTTGCTAGATTCTGTCGCCAAAATGACTGGCAAAAAGGAAGGTTGGAGGCATTGCTCCACTGATAAAGCCCCAGCTGTATGCAGAGCTGAGCAAACCTGAGGCCCTGAGTTAGAAACTCTAGTATAGCAAAAGTTAAACAGATTTCAGGGTGAATTAAAGGGTATCTGTTCGTGCAGGAGCTGCCTGGACAGACAGGGTGGGAGGCCTGTCCACCCTCTCTGAGCTGTCCTGCTTTGCCCTTACCCCAGCCTGTCAGGGCTGAAACTGCTGTCAGAGCACCTGGACCCCAACCTCTTGGGCCGCCTGAAGCATCTGCAGGAGCTGGACCTCTCCAACAACCAGCTGGAGGCGCTCCCTGCCAACCTGGGTCTGCCTCACCTCCGCGTCCTCCGCTGCGCCAACAACCAACTGGGAGATGTCACAACTCTGTGCCAGTTCCCACTACTGGAGGAGCTCAGCCTAGAGGGCAACCCCTTCCTCACTGTAAGTGGGGTCCCCCAGCCCCGTGCCAGTGCCCTAGGCCGTGACGAGCTCAGGCTCCACCATCCCTTTACCCCCAGGTCAACGACAACCTGAAAGTCTCCTTCCTCCTGCCCAACCTGCGGAAGGTGAATGGCAAGGACGCATCCTCCACCTGCTCTCAGGTGCAGAGCCTGAACCGAGAGCTGAGCAACCGAGTAAGACCATAGAGAGCCATCTGAGTGGTCTGGGGCAGTGGGCGGCCTGGAGGGGCTGACAGGGGACATTTGGTTTTGTGCCTGGGGCTTGAACTCAGAGCCTGGGTGCTGTCCATACCACTTGGGCCACACCACTTCTGGATGTTTGCTGGTTAAGTGGAAATCAGAGCCTCGCAGACTTTCCTGCCACAGCTGGCTTTAAACAGTGATCTCTGTCTCCTCAATAGCTAGAATTTCAGCACTCAGCTCAGACTTCTTTTAAAGCTCAGCTGACTTCAAACTACAGTCTTCCAGGTCTCAGCTTCCTTGTAATCCTTACAAGCACGAACCACCATCGCTTCACTGTCAGTGGACATTTGGGGGACACTGAGGAAGATGATAGGGCTCTTGGTCTTAACAGATGAGAGTCTGGTTGGTAGTTGAAATACTTTTGGGTATAAGGTAAGGGCAGTGATGGGGTGAAGCTGACTCAGACACATTGTATACAACATTGTATACACTTGTAGCAATGTCAACACCTTCCCCCTTGTAAAACCAACATGTGTTAATAGCAAAAGAAGCAAGCCATGTATGGCTGCTCACACCTATAATCCTCACTATTCAGGATGCTGACATGTAAGGATCATGGTTGGAAGCTAGCCCCAGCAAAAAAAACATAGTATCTCCAATTAATCTGCACAAAAACTGGACTGAGGTGTGGCTCAAGTGGTAGAGCACCAGTCATGAGTGGCAAAAAAAAAAAAGCCCAGTGAGAATAAGAGGCCCTGGTACTGGCACAAATAAGAGAGAGACTCTGGTTGGACAGCTCGCTGCAGGTGGTGCCTCAGCCTGCCTGTGGTGTATTGGCAGTGGGCTGGGTCTGGATCTGGTTGTGGTTCCTCTTGTCTTAGGTCACAGCGTACTGGGAGAAGTTCATGGCAGCTCTGGGCCCTGAGCAGGAGGCTGAGAAAGTGCAGACCGACTTTGTGAACTCTGCCATCAGGGATGTGCACTATGGACCTGAGTCTCTCCGGGAGTTCACCCAGTGGCGGGTATGCCCTCACCCATCGGCCTACCCCATCTGCTGGGCGCTGAGCTTCCTGGCTCTTTGCTGGTTTCCAAGGCTTTCAGCTTCCCTGAGGGGCCTGGGGGTGCATGGGGAGTAGGGTAGTGCGGGGAGGCAGCGCTCCTGTCTGGACAGCTTCTCTCCTCCATGAGAGGAGAGGGGCCAGTCTGTCCCAGCCTCCTGAAGGCTTGGCCCACCCAGGTGCGGATGATCTCGGAGGAGCTGGTGGCCTCTGGTGGGACCAAGGCATGTGAGACAGACGCCCCAAAGAAGCCTCCAGGAGCAGCAGCTGCTGGCAGGCCCCGGGTGAGAGCGGTTGCACGCGGCCCCTGGGAGCCTGCCCTGGCTGCCTGGAAAAGCGGCTGGGGGTGGGGACACACACACACAGGAGCCCAAGAGCGAGCTGCCCATGCTGTGCTGCGATGCCCAATAAGACTAGAGTGCTGATGTTCTCTCTGGCCCCCCCACCCCCTACACTCCCCCAGTATGCCCTTTAATCCCACACCCAGGGCCTCATTAGGCCCTGCCTCCACAAGCTAGTGACCACGCCTTTTAATCTATGGGCCTCAGGGGGCCATTTAAGATCTAAACCACATGCCACCCAAGTACCCTCTGTGACCCTGGCCTGGCCCTGCTGTGGCCTGTGACAGCGGATGGGGCCCCAGGCCTGGCCCGGGCTCACCAGGCCCCTCCACAGGCCAGGCTGGCAACCTTGAAGCGACCACATGACGTCCTGCTCAGCGCCTCTCCCACCAAGCGCACTAGTACCACACCATCCACCAAGGTGGAGGGTGGCCAGGTAAGCCTGCAAGGTGGCAAGGAGAGGTGGGGAGCTGGGCCCGGCATAGCCGTGACCCCTGCGCACCCACAGTGTGCCCCGCAGCTGGAGCCCCTGCACTTCCTGCAGTGCCACAGCAGGAACAACAGCCCTCAGGACCTGGAGACGCAGCTGTGGGCCTGTGCCTTCGAGCCTGCTTGCGAGGAGGGTGAGTGGGGGGCTGGGGCAGGGTGTGCTGGGCCCTGAGGAGGAGCAGTGGGGCAGTTGGGCATAGGAGTCATCCAGGAGAAGCCACCAGGAGGATGCTTGCAGGAAAAGCTGTCATTCAGCTGGCCCCACCCAACAGGCCACGAGGGGACCACCTCCCAAACAGTGGCCACGTGCGGCGGGGAGGCTGTGTGCGTGATAGACTGCCAGACGGGCATCGTCCTCCACAAGTACAAGTCACCAGGCGAGGTGAGCGTGTATGGTGCACCCCGGCTCTGCCATGGCCTTTCCCGTGGGCAGGCTCCCACATGGGTCCCTGCTCCTGACGGCTCTCCCGTCCCACCAGGAGTTCTTCTCTGTGGCCTGGACCACACTGACAGTGGTCACACAGGCGGGCCACAAGAAGCGCTGGAGTGTGCTAGCCGCCGCGGGCCTGCGGGGCCTGGTCAGGCTGCTGCACGTGCGCGCCGGCTTCTGCTGTGGGGTCGTCCGGGCCCACAAGAAGGCCATCGCCACCCTCTGCTTCAGCCCTACCCGAGAGACACATCTCTTCAGTAAGACCTGCCTCCCCACCCTGTGCCAGGTGGCCTCCCCAAGTGACGGGTGCCAGGTGGCCTTGGGAGAAGTGACAGCTTTGGATCTCAGGTTGATCCCCAGACTGCCAGGTGGACTTGGGGTTCCCCAGCAACCAAGGGCAGCTCTGCTCCCCTGGCCATGGCTTGGGTCACCCTGCAGGCCCGAGTCACCCTCGTAGCCCACCTGCCCTGTCCCGGGCACCAGACCCAGCCTGTAGGAGGGCGCAGAGCCTCCTCAGGACGCTGCCCTCCCCTCCAGCGGCCTCCTATGACAAGCGGATCATCCTGTGGGACATCGGGGTGCCCAACCAGGACTACGAATTCCAAGCCAGGTGAGGCTGGGGCAGGGGGATGGTAAGCGGCGGGGACAAGCGGGCACCAGGGCCCAAGTTGACACCTGCTCTCCCCTCGCTCATGCAACTGGCAGCCAGCTGCTCACGCTTGACTCGGCCTCCATCCCACTACGCCTCTGCCCTGTGGCCTCCTGCCCCGATGTGTATCTGCTGGCTGGCTGTGAAGGCGGCTGCTGCTGCTGGGACGTGCGGCTGGACCAGCCCCAGAAGAGGAGGTGAGGCCAGAATGGGGTGCTCAGTCCTCTGGGTTCCCACAGCCCCTGCCTGTAGTCTCTGCTGTCCTCAGGGCCTCTCCTCACCCTGACATTGGGCTTTGCCTGCACTCGCTGCCTTACCAGCTGCTGCTCAGCAATGGAACTTCCTGTGTGCTGATGCATAAAGGGTTCAGCAAGGGCCAGGCATGGTGGTACATACTCAAAACCCCAGCTACACAGGAGGTGGAGGTAGGAGAATCTCGGTTTGAGGCCTGCCTGGGTAAAAGGACAAGACTGTCTGAAAACTAAAGCAGGCAGGTAGAGCTGTGACTCGAGTGGGGACAGCCTGCCTAGCAAGTGCAAGGCTTTGAGCGCAAAGCCCAGTACAACAAAAGAAGGGGGATGGTGACCTTCCTCCTGTGGCCAGTGGGGGACAGGGAGATGTCTGGGCAGGGCAGTGACTCTGGAAATACCACTCTGAGGCTTAGTGGCCAAGGGCACCTCCCAGTCTCAGACAGCGCCCGGGGTCCCTGCCTTACAAACACCCGACTCATTTCCAGCTGCAAAGACAACCTAGTGCAGGCCCCTGCAGAGAGCCCACTGCCAAGGCAGCTCGGGCCCAGGCTGCTTGGGTGCTCTGCAGGGTGGCAGCCAGCCAGCTAGTGAAGTGAGTGGAAGTGGAAATGAGGGCCGAGGTTGCTCAGCTGGGCGTGGGGCTAGGTTGGTGGAGCAGCAAGGTTATTTCAGAGTGACAGCAGGGGGGAGGTGGCCATCCCTGCCATACCCAGTGGCCTTCCCTCTGTCCCCAGCTCTGCTTTTCCCTCGTCTTGGGTTTATCTGCTGCTCTTTGCCCCTGTGCAGCTGCCTGGGTCTTAGCCTGTCCCTTAGTCAGGTTCCAGGCAGACTGCAGCTCTTGGCTGGCCCCCCCAAGGTGGACCCTGCTCAGCACTGGTTCTGGTCCTGGCAGGAGACTGCAAGCACCCATCATGCTGGCCACCAGGTGGCCTCTGCCCCACACAGGCTGGGCCATCTACCACCCACCTTTGAAGACCCACCCTATCCTATGCCTCTGGGTGTTCACTATCCACAACCCCTGGGGGGCAAGCTCCTTGTCAGAGCATAGCCCAACCCCAACCTGCCAAAACACTTCTGAGCTGGACGCTGGTGCTCATGCCTGTAATCCCAGCTACTCAGGAAGGTAAGATCTAAGGACTGTGGTTTGAAGCCAGCCCAGGCAGGAAAATCCATGAGACTCATTTATTTCCAGTTAACTATCAAAAAGCCATTAGTGGAACTGTGACTCAAGCGATAGAGTGCTAGCCTGAGCAAAGCAGCTCAGAGGCAGTGCCCAGGCTTTGAGTTCAGGCCCCAAGACCAACACATAAAAAAGCAGCACCCAGATGCCCTCCTCTAACCTTCACCAGGGTTAGGGAGCAGCCTCCAGTGCCATCTGCCATCAACAGGGCATGCGAGGCGGAGTTCACCTTCTCTGAGGGCTCGGAGACGGCCAGATGCAGAGTGGACGGGCTAGCATTTGTGAACGAGGACATCGTGGGTGAGTCCGGCTCAGGGCTGCCCATCCTGGGTCACACAGGGTGGGGGGGGTGACTTTACCCTAGGCTGCGCATTTCCATGGGGAGGGGTGGAGAATGGTGACAACCCATCCCCACCTGTGCAGCCTCCAAAGGGAGCAGCCCGGGCACCATCTGCCTGTGGAGCTGGAAGCAGACATGGGGCGCCCGGGGCGGCCAGTCTGTGGTGTCTGTGGTTATCCTGGCTCATCTGCAGTGGTCACCCACCGAGCTGGCCTACTTCTCACTCAGCACCTGCCCTGGTGAGCATTGCCCCTCCTCCATCTCAGAGCCCACCCATCCCATTCTTCACCTTTTGGGGCCCTGCCCACCTTAGCTAGGGACCCATCTCTGTCCTGGCAGAACAAGGGCTTGTGCTCTGTGGTGACGAGGAGGGCAGCGTGTGGATCTACGACGTCCAACACATCCTGAAGCAGCCGCTGCTGCCACCGGCTACCCCCCATGCCCCCACTCAGGTACTCGCCACCCTCCCCAAGACCCCACGTGGTACTTCACCACCCTCCCCCAGACTGAGCCCCTGTGCCTGGCACACATTCCTCTCCCCACCAGATCCTCAGATGGCCCCAGCCTAGGGCACTTGGCCAGCTGGTGACGAAGACCATGGTAAACACAGTGGTGGCCAATGCTGCCTTCACTTACCTCACAGCACTGACGGACTCCAACATCGTGGCGATCTGGAAGAGGCCATAGCTCAGCCCAGTCCCAGCCCTAGCAGGGACGGGGTTCTGCACTCAGGGTTAATTAGTGGTAGTCTTTTATCAGTGAATATTTTTATTAAACTTCATTAAATTTTCTGCTGTGTTCAGGAAGCCTATGGAGAGCTGATACAAGGGTCCCATCACGGGCCTCTTGTGATCAAGTCAAGCCCGAAGTCAAGGTCTGGAGTCACCGCAGTCTAAAGTGTGGCCCCCAAGGGTCACAGGTCACCTGCCTCCCCTACACCAGCTCTTCGCTGCCCACTCTCAGAGAGACAATAGTCCATGTACAGGACACCAGGGGTGGGTGGGGGCCAGTGGACTGGCCCTGTCCATGTCAGAGGGTCTTCTAGGTAGGCACCGGGTACAGATGAGCAGAGCCACCGTGCCGCTACTCTATCCCTTCCTGCTTGTCTTTGATGGCCACCTAGCAGAGGAAGAGCCCAACACAGCTGTAGCCTCCACCCCACAGCCCTCAGCCACCCAGTTTCAGCACGCCCCCCGCCAATTCCCCCCAAACCACCAGAGCCTGTCCTGGATGGGCCTGCAGCCACCTGCCCTCCCCATGCAGCACCCTCACCCGGAAACGCTCCTCTAGCAGGGAGAGCTCACTGATGAGGTCAGTAATGGCGTTGGTGAAGGCTTCCTGGGGACTGTAGTCAGGGGTGGTCTGCACACGGATGATGATCTTGTGCTCCAGGGGGTGAGGGACCTTGTAGCCCGCAAACAGCACCTGCGGGTCCTTGAGCAGCTGTCTGAGGGACAAACACTATGTGGGGACCCAACATACACGCCACCCACCACAGCCACAGCTCCACGGGCCAGAACACAGGGCCCCAGGCTCAGCAGGCAGGCAGCAGAGAGGAGGGTGGGCTCAGGCATTAGTGATGGAACGGGGTATCAGGCTGGTACCTTCTGATCCATGGAGCCATAAGGAAGGCAGAATAGCTACCCTGCTCTGTCCTGGGCTCTGAACACTTGTCTCAAAGTGATTATGGTCAAGTGTGAACAAATGGCAGGTGCTAGAAGAACTGGGCTTACGCAGAATTTGGCCAGGAGATGGGCCCGCGTGTTCTGTGCACAGACCAAGGCCTACTGCTCCCAGCCTCCACTGCCCCCCCCCTCTCAGGCTCATGCCTCAGCACCAAAGGGAAGAGCCCAGACTGCAGCAAAAGGCAAGTCCCTGTGTCCCTATGTGCAGAGCCCAGCCTTTGCTCATGACAGCTGTGCGGTGCCGCTCAGGGCTCTGGAGAGCCCCAGGCTGCCTCTCATGTTCATCCCCCAGTGGTGCACAAGTAGCTGAGGTGCAGATGGGCTGACATCAACCCCCTCTCAGAGCTTGTGAGCAGACATATAACCAATACAGAATGAGCCTTGTGTGAACCCACCTGGGTCAGCCTCATCTGGGGAGAAAGTGCTAGAACTGAAACACCAGAGCAAGCACAGAGAATGACTTCTGGTGTCTAATGCAGAGCTCAGCCAGACCATCCACCCCACCCAGCCCAGAGCACAGGCCTGCAGCTCACGACTTAATGATGTTCCCAAGGGTGTGATCCTCCTTGTTGATGGTGAAGAGACAGGCGTTGGGCACTTTGGTGTCCTTATTGATGGTGATCCTGTAAGAGGCAGAGCAGCTGGTGAGGACAGGAACCCCCAGTCCAAACCCGGCCCTGCCTCTGAAATAATAACAAGCTAAAGGGCTGGAGGCATGGCTCCAAAAGTGTGCAAGGCAGTTGGTTCAAGCTCATTAGTGAGGCAGCCAGGCAGGCATGAGGTTCCAGATTGCCAGGAAAACCTGATTACCAGATAAAGACCTGTTGAGAGTTGATCTGCCCACAAAACAGCTTTTCCTGACAAATGTCAGAAGTCACCAAATGGGTCCCATCAGCTGTAATCAGCAGGTTGAGATTAAGAATTTTGGTTCAAAGCCAGCCAGGGCAGGAAAGTACATGAGATTCTTATCTCCACTTAACCACCAAAAAGCTAGAAGTGGAAATGTGTTACAAGGGATAGCATGCCTAGCCTTGAGCCAAAATTCTCAGGAATAGCTCCTGTAAAGCCACACAGCTATGCCAGCTAATTTTCAACAAAGAAGCCACAAAACATCCATTGAAGAAAAAGCCTCTTCGGGAATGGTGCTGGGAACACTGGATATCCACATGCAAGAGATTGAAACTGGTCACTCTCACTCTAAAGAAAGTCTAACTGGGGCTGGGAAGGTGGCTCAGTGGTAGAGCGCTTGCCTTGCATGCCTGAGGCCCTGGGTTCGATTCCTCAGCACCACATAAGCAAAAAGAAAAAAGCTGGAAGTGGCGCTGTGGCTCAAATGGTAGAGTGCTAGCTTTGAGCTGAAGAGCTGAGGGACAGCGCCCAGACCCAGAGTTCAAGCCCCATGTTCGGACCTCCCCCCCCCCCCAAAAAAAAGACAAGTGCCAGGCAAGGCTGGACCACAGCCTCACTCTTGGCTCTAACAGAAGAGCCAGCGTTGCAGGGGCCTTGGGATGGACCCTGTGCTACACCAGATGACCTGCAGCCCCTTCACAGTTTTTGTCTCTGCGAGGGGAGGAAACCCAGGGCCTGCGCAGGCCGAGCAAGCGCTGTACCACCCAGCGTCACGGCTCTCGTCAGAGCTCCACAGCTGGCTTGTTGCTGGTTAACTGAAGAGTCTAATGGGCTTTCCTGGCAGGATTGGCTTTGAACTGTGATCCTCAGATCGTGGCCTAAACCAAGATCAAAGCACCTAAGCTTACAGGTGTGAGCCCCCCCGGCTGCTGCACTGTTTCTGAGTGTCCACGTAGTCTCGAACTCTCGATTCTGCTTCAGCCTCCCGAGCGCTGGGATTGGGGATGACAGGAATGAGTACCTGCACTAGTTACCGCTGCGAGAGCACGGATGGAAGGAGGCGGGAAGCCCAGAGGGAAGGGGCTTTGGAGATGAGGACAGTCACCCAGCTTCGCGAGCCTCAGTTTCCCCTCTGCAAAGTGGGCCGGGCGGCCGCGGCCTCCGAGCACGGCAGCCGAGGGCCGGGCGGCCGCGGCCTCCGAGCACCGCAGCCGAGGGCCGGGCGGACGCGGCCTCCGAGCACCGCAGCCGAGGGCCGGGCGGCCGCGGCCTCCGGGCCGGACGGGACTCAGACTCTGCGGGCCCGCCCCGCCCCGCCCCAGCCGAGCCCGCTTACTTCTTCTCGCCCTCGAAGAGCAGGAACGACTCGAAGGCCGGAGGAGCGTTCATTCTCCCGCTCCGGCCGCGTCCAGCTCGCCGTCGGGTCTGCGAGCTCTGAAACGCGACCACTTCCGGGCCGCGCGGGCGCAGCCGAGTTCGTCAACATTCACCGCCCCCTGTCGGGCTGGAGGGCCTGGCGTAGGCGCGGGACCGCGCGGAGTCTCTGCGCATGCGTCGTCCTCCGCGGAGAGGTGTAGGAGACGCTGCGGCCCCGCGCCGGGGAGGTTCACCCGCCCGGAGACCCCTTGCCTGAAGTCGGGGCGCCAGGAGGAGGCGAGACAGCCATTCCTGTCCTCTGAGGGAGGCCGACGTCCACCGCTGTAGTCTCTCCATGCGAGGCCAGTGCAGCCTGCAGCCTGTAAGCCTATCTACTCCCCGTTAGCGGAGACAGGGAGTCAAGGGTTCGAGACCAGCACTGGCAGAAGTTTGTGAGAAGACTCCTCCTCCCCCCAATCTAAGGGGGCTGGGTTTGTCGGTCCTATTGGGCACACAGCAGGGCACGGCCTGGCCATGTTAGCGTCCCCTTGCAGCTAGGCTGACGGGGACAAACCACCATACAGCTCCCCATTGACAGTAGGTCTCAAGAACTTGGCTGTCCCGGCTGGCCTCGAACCACAGTCCTCAGTCTTTGCCTACCGTGCAGCTAGGTAGGATTACATGTTTGAGCAATTGCTACTTGGCTATTTCTTTTTTCTTTTTATGCCAGTCCTGGGGCTTGAACTCAGGACCTAGGCACTGTCCCTGATCTGCTTCTGCTCAAGACTAGCATTCGACCACTTGAGTCACAGAACCATTTCCAGCACTATCTGTTTATGTGGTGCTGAGGAATTGAACCCAGGTCTTCATGCATTCTAGGCAGGCACTCTACCACTAAGCCACATTCCCAGCCCCAGCTACTTATTTTTTGTTTTTTAAATGGGTTCTCCCTAGGTAGATCAGGATGGCCTCAGACTCAAGATCCTCCTGCCTCAGCCTCCTAAGTGCCAGAACTATGAGTGCTGCTGACAGCAGCTTTTTAAATATGTCATTGTAGTAAAACACATGTGACTAGTAGCTTGTCATTTTAAACATTTTATGTGTTCAGCTCAGCATGATTAATCATATTCAGTACGTGAAAAATATCCTACAATCTAGCACCAAAATCTCTTCAGTCATCTCAACCCCACCCACCCACCCAGGTATAGCCACCAGCACTCTGAGGTATAGATATCTATCTATATATAATTTATTTTTTGTCGGTCATGGGACTTGAACTCTGGGCCTGGGCGCTGTCCCTCAGCTCTTCAGCTCAAAGCAAGCACTCTACTTGAGCCACAGCATCACTTCTGGTTTTTGGAGTGGTTAATTGGAGATAAAAGTCTCACAGACTTTCCTGCCAGAGCTGGCTTTGAACTGTGATCTTCAGATCTCAGCCTCCTGAGTAGCTAGGATTAAAGGGGTGAGCCACTGGCACCAGCTTTTTTTTTCTTTTTTTTCTGGTCAGTCATGGGGCTGTCCCTGAGCTCTTCAGCTCAAGGCTAGCACTCTACCACTTAAGCCACAGTGCCACTTCCAGTTTTCTGGTGGTTTATTGGAGATAAAGAGTTTCACAGACTTTCCTGCCTGGGTTGGCTTTGAACTGTGATCTTCAGATCTCAGCCTCCTCAGTAGCTAGGATTACAGGTGTGAGCCAGCGGCGCCTGGCTCTGAATGTTGTTTTAAATGCTGCTATCTGAACTCTTAGCCAAATCTCAGACTCCTCCCTCCATGGATCTTTTTTTTTTTTTTGGTCTGGTTGTGGGGCCTGAACTCTGGGCCTGGCGCTGTCCCTCAGCTCTTCAGCTCAAGGCTAGCGTGCTACCACTTGAGCCATAGCACCACTTCTGGCTTTTTTTTCTGCTTATGTGGTACTGTGGAATCGAACCCAGGGCCTCATGCATACAAGGCAAGCACTCTACCACTGAGCCACCTTCCCAGTCCCCTCCATGGATCTTAATTGCAACCTTCCAAGCAAACCACTATTCTTGCCTGACAGGCAGTGAGTGATCAAATTAATTAATTAATATATGTATGTATGTTGTGAGCAGAGGCTCAAGCCTTTAGCCTAGCTATTTGTGAGTAGAGGTGAGGGGATCATGGCTCAAGGATAGCCAGGAGCATGGTTGAACATGGTAGTGTGCACTTGTTATCTCTGCTACAAGGGATGCTCAATGGCTGGACACACTGGCATACTCCTGTCAGCCCCCGTGACAAAGGGAAAAGCACAAATAGAAGGATCCCAGTCGGGGTGGGGCCTGGGCTTAAAGTGAAATCCTAGCTGGAAATAAAAGAGTAGCTTAAAACCAAGCCGAGTTCAAATCCCAGCACCACAAAGAAACAAATGAGTGGATCTGATAATGGCTGTCAGGTGAGGAGAAAAGTGAGCAGGTGCAGGTGAGACACAGAATAGCCCACCCCACAGGAGGTGCTGCTACCCCTGCTGTGCTGGTGGGTGTGAGGCCAGGGCCAGGGGCCCTGGGGTAGGCTTTACAGTGGGGCACTCAAAGAGAGGGCACTGGCTGTGCCCTGTTTGGAGGCCAGCAGACTTCTTTGCCCAGGGTCCCTGCCCACCCACCATCTAACTACAGGAGCAGCAGGAGCTGCAGCCTGGGCACTAGAGCCCCACCTCCCAGGGCCAGTTCAAATATGAGATCCAGGGGTGTCCCCTCTGCCCCACTGCTCCTGGGGGGCGGGGCATGGCCTGGTACGTGGCCCTGGGGCAGGGAGCCTAGGGGTCCACAGCTTCCAGCCCGGTGAGTCCTCAGCCCCCTGGGAGGAGACTGGACTGGATTCAAGCTAGGGACAGAAGGCCCAGACTGGACAGTGGTGACGCTGTGGTAAAAAGCCCCCTCTCCCCCCGCTCACCAGGGGTGCCAGGAGCCAGCTAGGCCAGGGTGGGTGGCAGGAGGTGAAGAAGGTGACAGGGCAGGGACAGGCAGCCTCAGGGAGGGAAGGGCCTTCTCCCCACGTGGAGCCAGGTTGCTCTCGATGTGGCTGAGGATTCGGTCCTACAGGGCAGCCTGCCAAACACCCTGGAGTTTGGGTGGGAACTCTGGGCCATGGCAGAAACCATCTCCACACCCACCCCATGGGCTCGAAGCAGAAATGGAGGAACAGAGCACAGCTAGGATGGTGGTCCCGGTCCATAGGCCCCAGCAGCCGAGGGAACGGAGGCTCCAACCCAAGAGCCCAGAGCCTTGGCAGTGACCGCAGGTTTATTACAGCACCGTGACACTGCCCAGGGCCCAGCAGCCTGGGGATGGCCAGGGAGCCCAGGGCAGGTGTGGGGGCCTGGCCCTCCTGCCTCACGCCACCCCTGACATCCAGCCGTTGTCCTAGGTGGAGAATGTGGGGTGCGTCAGGGAGCAGCCAGGCTTCCCAGGGGAGCAGGTGCCACCCACAACCCCCCACACATTGCAGATGGGCCAAGATCCAGGAACGCCTTGGGTGTGCCCCTCGGTGAAGGCGGCTGGGGCGAGGTCCCAAGTGCATTGGGGTGCTGGGGTTCCTGGCAGGGTGCTGAGCGCAGACCTCACTTCTGTAGCTGTAGGAAGTGGCAGGGCTCTGAGAGGTGCAGGCCACCCGGGCTGTGGCCATGAGCTTCCCGCAGCTCCTGCAGGACATGGAGCAGCTGGGCCAGCGAGTCTTCAGGGACTAGAAGCAAATGCAGTGGTGAGGACAGGTGGGATTTGGGGTGCAGCAACTTGAGGGGCGCTCAGACCACCAAGCAGGTGCCAGCTGGAAGGGACCTACCTTCTTTAGGTCCTGCCTCTGGGTCCCTACACAGTTCCAGATGCTTCTTCCTGTGGGGAGGACATGGTGAGCCACCACAGCCACTAGGCCAGGGAGGCTGAGGCACCCATGGGGGCCTCCTGAGCTAAGAAGGCTTGGTGGGAGGGGGGAGGGGGAGGGGGGTCTGGTCTGGATGACCCAGGCTAGCCAGGCACTGGTGGCTCACGCCTGTAATCTTGGACACTCCAGGAGGCTGAGGATTGAGGATTGTAGTACCAAGCCAGCCAGGGCAGAAAAATCCCTCAGACTCCTATCTCCAATGAACCAGCAAAAAGCCAGAAGAGGGGCTGGGAAGGTGGCTTAGTGGTAGAGCGCTTGCCTTGCATGCCTGAGGCCCTGGGTTTGATTCCTCAGCACCACATAAGCAAAAAGGAAAAAGCCGGAAGTGGTGCTGTGGCTCAAGTGGTAGAGCGCTAGCCTTGAGCTGAAGAGCTGAGGGACAGCGCCCAGGCCCAGAGTTCAGGCCCCACAACCGGACCCCCCCTCCCAAAAAAAGCCAGATGTGTGGCTCAAATGGCAGAGCACCAGCCTTGAGCAAAGCTGAGGGACAGTGCCCAGGCCCTGAGTTCAAGCCCCAGGACCAGCACATACAGAGACACACACAGAAGGAAGAACAGGGACCAGGCCCTGGTGCATGGCAGCTGCTCCTGTCCCTGCTCACCGCAGTGCAGCCTCCACACCCAGCAGGTGCTGGTACATGAGCTGGGCCTCCAGGTCATGGTCAATGGGGTCGTTCCACTCCTGCAGCGTCACCCGGGACCGAGTTTTATCACAGCCCAGATCTGACAGCAAAGAGCACAGAGTTACCCAGTGGTCATCACGCATGCTCAACTGCCTGGCCCTACAAGATAGGGTCTGGATGGGGCGGGGGTAGACTCCTCAGGGGTCCCTGGCCCTGCCTCTGGCACCCCAACATTTTCTGGGAGATTGCCTGCCTGCCTGGAGGTTGCTGTGAACCACAAGATGGGTTGGGCTGTCAAGTTTTTTGTTGTTGTTTGTGCTAGTCCTGGGGCTTGAACTCTGGGCCTGGGTGCTGGCCCTGAGCTTTTTTTCCCCAAGGCTAGCTCTCTACCACTTGAGCTACAGCCCTGCAGGTGTGGTAGATGAGCTGTGTCTCAATGTCTTTTTTTGGTAGTTAATTGGGGATAAGAGTCTCCCAGACTTTCCTGCCTGGCCTAGTTTCAAACTACAATCCTCAAATCTCAGCCACCTGAGTAGCTAGGATTATAGGTGTGAGAATTTTGTGTCTGACTG